CTGCTGAGCTTTATGTATGTATGTCAGATACAAGGGACCTCAAAACCTTCTGCTGACTTTATCTGTTCCCTCCCCTGTCCGCCTCCTTAAAATGAAAATCCAAATAGAGAAACACACACCCCAAGCCACCCACAACAATTCGATAAAAATAGCGTCATCCCTGGAAAGTGAAGGCAAAAAGTGCCACAGACACCTTGCAGCTAAGCCAGGTGTGTCAGCTTCCGTGAATGCTCAGGGTTTAAGCACACAGGAAACATCTCATCATTAGGAGATTACTGGAGCAGCCCAGTAGGTATTAATCGTCAATGAGCTGTCACTGGAGAAAAGCTGAGCCAGGAAAGGCATAAAAACAGTAGGAGAAAAAAACTCAAACCTGCAACCAGCTGCTTCCAGGTACATTCCTGAGCGCAGCTGCAGGAAGGCAAGATGGAATCTTTCCTGAAAGGCAGGCAGGACAACAGCCCTGCAAACAGCTCCTTGGAGCAGCCTGCAGATGTACAGTCCCCCAGATTGCCCATCCTGGGACGCAGCGGACAGGGTGAAGTAGTCTTCACTCAGTGTCTGTTCAGAATTTGCTTCCAAAAATCCAAGTAGACACAGAAGCAGCCTGTAGCTGTTACCTTCAAAGCCTTTTATGATTCACTCTAAAATGTTTCTAGTAATTACTTCTATTTTAAAGGCGTTAGTTAATTGCATTGTGTGTAGAATCTGTGCCGTAACTGTCCTTCAGAAAGAGGGAGAGCACAGCCAGGAAAGATTACTTATTAAAATTAAGCACACTGTGGGCGTTTATTTCAAAGTGTAATTACTGAAATAAACAGTTGTGTTTATTGCAGGGTGCAGAGCTGCACATACAGACAGGTAGAAACATGCCTGTATGAGAAGCTCTGCATGTTCATTCTATGTCAGTCGCCTGAGAAAATCTACAGGATCCTCTATGTTGCATACAATATAAAGACTACTACAGATACAGAGATGGTGTTCCCCTGAGGACAAAACGACCACTCTGAAATCCTTCCTGCTAATCATTCCAACTTTAGATGCAGAATGCCAGTCCCTGGTAACTTCAGCTGTTCTCACTTCTGCAGCGTCTGTGTTCAGAGCAGCAGTGCTCGTGGAAAGGGAGCAGTCCACTGCTCAGACCACTGTAACCATGGAATGAGATGAAACATACTGTTTGAAATTCATTTAAAAGCATATAAACAGTTTCCAAAGCACTATTTCCCCTCTTGCTAATGATTGAACATAATTGTTGTAAACATCACAGAGCAGATTCCCTAGACTGAGAACAAGCAGGAAACATTTCTTCCCTTGGGGCATTTTTTCTCTTCCAAAAGGTATGTCCCTGAGAAGGATAGGGAATAAAACTGCCTCTTTTACCACAACTGCTGAAGTGCATCTCGTGATTTCTTTATGCTGGTAATACCCACAGATACCATCAGCACTCTAGGCCCTTGTGTTAGGGGATACAACAGTAAAGAGATGTCCTGTGAAGATTACAGCCTACTTTAACTTCTGCAAAACATAGTCTGTTAATGTGGAAATGACTGGTTGAGGAAATCCCTCTATTCTGAATCTCAGTGCTTATTGTTCTGTGCGTTCTGCAGATCGTGTTCAAGTTGGCTGTCGGGAACTGAGATCCACCAAGTACATTTCCGATGGCCAGTGCACCAGCATCAACCCACTGAAGGAGCTGGTGTGTGCTGGTGAATGCCTCCCTTTGCCGCTGCTCCCCAACTGGATTGGAGGAGGTTATGGAACCAAGTACTGGAGCAGGCGGAGCTCACAAGAGTGGAGATGTGTCAATGACAAAACTCGCACCCAGAGGATCCAGCTTCAGTGCCAGGACGGAAGTATAAGAACCTACAAAATAACTGTGGTCACGGCCTGCAAGTGCAAGCGATACACCAGGCAGCACAACGAGTCCAGCCACAACTTTGAGGGAACCTCTCAAGCAAAACCTATCCAGCATCACAAAGAGCGGAAAAGAGCCACTAAATCCAGCAAACATAGCACAAGTTAGAAGTCAGACATTCTCTCCTCACTCATCTCCCTCTCCTTGTGCCAAAATTGAACTCACCTATAACCATTTGCTTTACCATTCTGACTGCTTAAAGACAAGTCTGCCATTGCTGTGTTCAGTTGATACTACATGCTTATTGCTTTGACCAAAATCAGAAGGGCATTCTCAGCATATGGACCTTTTGGGTGATTTTCCGAACACTCAAGATGGGAATGACACAAGCCTTCCAAACCCACACAATGAACTTTTATGTTTTCTCCAGTCATGGAGGCAAAGAAACTTTGCCATGAATATTCACTGAAGTCTATTTTGTAAAAAGATGCTTTGTTGTGTGTTTTCATGAGAACAGTTATCATGTCTATTGCCTTCTCTATCATGTTTTATGAACTTCTGAAAACAGCTTAAAAATACAACACCTAGTATGTGCTTTGAGATTCATTCTAAACAAAAATGCCTTGCATGCTGACCTTTCTCTTATCAGTACCTTTCTCTTTCTCAGTATACCAAAAATTAAAATATGCATGGCAGCAATCAAAAAGCAAAGCTGAACAAACTATTTATTTGTTGTTGTAATTATTTAATGAGCTTTTATGTGTGTTATTTCCCTCCAGAACGTTCTTATGTTTATAGCTTTTGTCATGTATCAAAGTATTTTTCTATGATTTGTGGCTGGATTAGAACATACATTTTGTAGATAATGTAAAATAGACATTTTAGCATTCTTGGTATATATATTTCCATTTTGAACATCCATAGCTTTAGGTGTTATTTTGAAGTAGCAACATAAAAATCATTGGTTTGTTTTTTCTTTTTCACTCTACACTCTGTATTATTTTTGTTTACAAGTGTGCAATCAAAAGACAGATCTGGTGACTTCCTGTCAAATCCATTGTTTGTTTCATTTTGGCTTTTTTACAAGAATAAACACTACTAAAAACTGCATTGTCTGGCTCTATACATGAAAGTGCACATGTTGTAATCACTCACAACATTCCATCTTAAAACATAGGAGAAAATTATTTGGTTAAGAAAATCTATCCATGATATTTAAGATTAAAACAATCTTTCTGTGGAGTCTTTTTGAATGTACAGATGTAATATGGCCTTTTAACAGATGGTGCTCATTAATGATCTGAGACAGGTTTGTATTCAGCAATTCTCTAGTTACCCATTGCAGAGGTGTGTATTTGGGAAGTTTTACAAGCTAGTAAGACACCACCATTTTCTTTTTCATTAGTGATGATCAAGTACAAAGAGTAATGGTAAAAATAACAAGCAGTTTCATCTTTCCCACAGAGCCAATAGAGCCCTGCACATTATCCACAAATTCCTATAGAATCTATCAGGAAATGTACAGAAGGCAGTCTACCTTCCAACACATAGTCTGCGAATCACCTATCTTTCAAACTATAGTGAAATACTATGGGCAAGATTTCATCATGGGATTCTGCTCTTCTTAAATCATTAACTTTTACAATCCACTTGCACCCAAAGAAAAGATTACACAAGAAGAAAATAATGCAAAGCCTTGCCTGATAAGGTCTCACATAAGCTCTCTTTGACATTCTATTTATCTCATTTCATTTTGCATTTTAATTCCAAAGATTAGTCGTGAAGCTCTTGGCAGAGATCTTCCTTGATCATTAACATAGAACTGTTTGAAAATCACTGCTACTGCCTGACTTACTGAATACTAAATTCTATTGACAAAATTTAATGATTTTTCCTCAAAGCTGCTTTCAAGAATTCTTTTTAAAATCTGCTATATGTAAGAAGTATATATACCTTTTTAGTTTTGGGGTTTTTTTTTTTGATCTCCATGGCGGTACAGTTAAAAACCATTGCATTGATGACCTAGCTGTTTCAAGTTTAATTCTATGATCATGAAAATATCAGAATGATGAGATCAGAGACCATTTAAACTTAAGTTCTGTGATCTTAAATGTGCTTCTTTTAAGCCTAAGAGGATAGATGATGAATAAAAGAGCGAGCAGAGAGAGATGACATGACATTGCTCCTAGGCGTATCAGTCCATGGACCGACAGATATCCTAGGTTTTTATTTTAAACAGACATTACAGTCTCATTCAATCCATTTTATAAGGGAAAGATTATCCCCAAATGCCAAATATCTATCCATTTTTAAATTGTTCTCCAACTTCTTCAAGATGATAAAGCACAAAAGATTGAGGTAATGGACTGAAATCTAACCAAAATTATTTTCAAAGCCAATAGCCACTACACATCAGTAAAGTTGCCCTGCCTGTTTTGTGTTTCACTCCCAAAAATAAGAAGGGTGAAAACCCCCCACACATCTTGCCCATGACTCTTTCACAGTCAGTGAAGTTTGACTGTAGGAAAAATACGCACATTTAATAAGAGTTTGCATTTAGCAATGGAGATGGTAACTCCTAGTTCATCTTTTCACACAGAACTGCCTGAAGGGGAATAGTTTGACACAACTTCCATTAAGACGAGTTCATCAAATGTTGCTGGACACGCTACTGAAAGACCAGAGGCCCATCTCTAAGCCTGGCATATTCGAGGGAACATGAGGGAAGCCAGCAGGAGCTTTGTCCATCAGCAGCAACTCAACTTTGAAGTACCACCTGATTTAGCAATGGTCTCTTCTTTGGCCAAGACTCTGGCCTTTTGTGGGAGAGATCTGCAGGAAAGCAGGGTTAGAAATATGTTAATCTTCAATTTTCATCAGGAATAATGTTACTCTTTGTGACTCATGTCCTAGCTCTAAATGCTTCAATCTGGCCTATACAATCTGCCTTGAGTTTCATCCTGTTACATGTGAACTAGCAGGGGTCTATTCAAGGATCCAGCAAAAGGCATTTATGTATGTACACCCAACTAGTATTTTCTATATGGAGAATCTTCAGCATGTAAAGTGGGTAGGATATGGGTCATTGCTCTTTTATCTACAGTGGAGAATCTTGCCAAAGTTTCTCAAAGATTCAATTAAAAAACTAAAATAATTTTAAATCCGATACATCATCTTCTTATGTTTGCTTCATAACAAGTTAAAACGAGTTAAAAAGGAAAGACAACATGCTAGAATTTTCTTAGTTTTCACCTAAAATATTAAGCCAAAGAGATACAAGAAGAATGTAAATGTTTTAAAAAAGCATAATGTAGAGTCAGAACAGGTAAGATTTTACACAAATCAGTCTGCTAAATAGACTAGATTTATTACACTAAGAATATACAGAAGTCAACAATATCCTATCATATGAGCAGATCCCTAAGCCCTAGTGCTTCTTAAAAAGCGTTTCAAACATCTTAAAAAGAGCCTAACAATTCTTAAAGTAAGTTCTCATACTTGTTTAGAAAACTAGAAGTGAAGAAATTAGAAAAAATCTGTTAATCTGCCATTAGTATGTCATTGCTTTTGAGCTAATGAGAACTGCCCCCAGCTAAAGCGTAAATTGTTCTATAACAAATGGAAATCCATTTTCCCCAGATATCACTAGAAATAAACTTACAGATGCTGATAGTTTTGATAACATGGTAGCAGACAGAGGCACACTTTGTAGAGGTAGTAGTAGATAGTATGTGTCAGTAAAACAGCATCAACTCTGGAAGTCAGAAGGGCCTGACACTTGCAGGCTAGACCAGAAATGCCCTTGAGAAGTTTATTTATTCATTCATGTTTTTAGTAATAGTAACAAGTCTGTTGCTCTCTCCAGCAGCCTTGTAGTCAAACCACGCAGTCCAAGTTCAAGCATTTGTTTGGAAATACAGCAGACGTTCGAATAACACCCTTCAAAATACCTATCAGATTTCTGCTAGTAAATCACTGTAGTCCTCCTCACCTTGACCTTTATATCCTTCCTGAAGAAGTACAACATTAATCAAGAAAGGACTGTTCAATACATTCCACTGTGAGAGTCTTGTTGCTACAGTATTAACCTGGAGGTGTTCAGTGGAAAATTATAAGGAATCCTTAGTGTTGGAAGGTGTCCTATTCTCATGATGCATTTCCCTTCCCGTAGGTCAGGCAAGGGGCTTTGATTTTAAGTTCATTGACATACACATAAACATCACCCCAGGCCAAAACTGAAAATTCTCTAGAGATTTATGAGTTAAGCAGACATTCTGTCACTGGATTTGTTAATTTTCCCTGAACATTGCCCCACAACAGAAAGCCTGTCCATGCATCTTTCTGAAACACATCCAGCCCTTCAGCTCACTCATCATATGAGTTATGTGGATGACACACTGAAAAAGCGTGATTTACAAGTGATACTACCACTGAGTTAATATTCAAACATCTACCTTCCCCAGTACTTCCACGACAAAAAAATACTCTTCATTCTTAATTAATGCTCATCAAACTACATGTCATGAAAATAGTCTCTACTAATTGCTAAGAAAAATCTCTACAAAACTGGACTGTAGCTCTGGTTTGGGAGTTTGTTTCTTCTTAACTCACTTTGCTTTGACAACATACTATAGTGAATGAGGTAGTTTTAGAGTACCTCAGTAGAGTTCAGGCCTGAATGCCTCTATACAACCACAAAAAATAGAGAGGATGTCCTAATATAAATGAAAATCGAGACCACTGACTGTAATAAGGCTGTTTGTGGAATATGGTACTTCATGAATGTAAAGGAAAATAAAAATAAAATCAGCTCCCTGGAAAAGAGGACTAAATCAGAGCACACTGCAACAATAATATAGTTCTGTTTACTAAACCCCAAAGACAATTGCTATCAAAAAGTGACCTTTGTTACCATGTACTTATGCAAAAAGTATTAAATCACCTAAAAACACTTCGTTGAACGCTCTATTTCTTGTCCCCTGCCCTATTTTAGTAGTTATACAATAGCATATTATTGACTCATGGTTTAAACCCTTAGCTGTTCTGAACTATACGTACCACAGCACACTTGCTTTTTGATACAGAAATACTGTAAATCTCTTTTTAGAATGACTGGATGCATCTGTTTTGTATTTTGACTACCAAGAGGAAACGTCATGCTCTGACTTGACCTAGGAGTTCCACATTTAATTTGTTTTGTTAACCCCAGTGAGAAGTGACTTAGTGAGGAAATTGCAAAGAAACTCAGAAAAAGCATAAACCAGTCTGTAAAGTACAATGCTTTGGTGGGCTAAAGAAGAGCCAACCAAGCAGATTCATTAAAGGTCTTTTATATGAAACACTGCAGAGTTGATGGAGAGAGCCTAAGGAGAAAAGTACTTTCTAGTCCTACCACAAGAACAGCCACTGAGAAATGGAAGGACTATGCAGAGCTTTAAAACAGACTCTGTAGTGCAAACACTTTGCTTTAATTGCAGCTGAAGCAAGTTTAAACATCTGTTGCTTGTTAGATTATTATTTTATTTATTTACTTATTTATTTATTCATTTACTTTGGGATGGGTTGAAGAAAGCTCTTTCAGATTCCCTATGGCCATTAAGCTGGGATGGAGAACAGAGGTCTGAGTGTTTCTACAATGTAAAGCTGCAAAAATTATGGCTTTAGCAAGGATTGCTTGCCCTTCTCCTCCCCCTGAAAAAAACCTGCTGAAACTTTTGCTTTTGTACGTATTTATTGCAATTTTTAGGAAGGTGGCCAGAACAGCTTATAGCAGTGGGGAACAGGTTGCATCACTGCACTGCATCATTTGTGTGCAGATACTGAAATGTCTGAATCTGGGTGTGTCTGGAAGAAGAGAAAAAGAAGAGAAAATGAATTAAAAAAAAAAATGAACAAAATGACATGTGGAAGACAGCATGTGTTGCATGTCCTTCATTTTCTTCTGATCATCACAACTTTTCATGCAACTTCAAAAGACTTGTTCTGTCTGCAGATGCCAAGCCAAACATTAGCCAATGCACATGCTTCCCTTGGGATTTAATAGACTGCCAAGTTAAAATTCACATGGTAGATAACCAGTTCTGACTGTCTTCTCTT